AAACCATTTCAGGTGACTACCTCTTGAAGCTCATGGAGAGAATGCCAAGAGTGTGCAAAGCAGTAATCAGAGCAAAGGGTGGCTATTTTGAAGAAACTAGAATATAAAACATGTTTTCAGTTATTTCACCTTTTTTTGTTAAGTACATAACTCCACATGTGTTCATTCATAGTTTTGATGCCTTCAGTGAGAATCTACAATGTAAATAGTCATGAAAATAAAGAAAACGCATTGAATGAGAAGGTGTGTCCAAACTTTTGGCCTGTACTGTATATACTGTTTGGTCAAAACGGAATAAAACTTCTCTTACACATTTGGCACAGTGAGCCTGAGAGTTAAAGAAAACCCTTCTACTAACGCAGTTAACCTCAGTGTTAACTGAGACCACAAGTCTTCAAATGTTCCACAGCATTCAGACATTTATGGTCTTATTCGTCATTTAAAGCCGGCACTGCAGTGTAGCGTCAGCTGTTCAACATGCAGCATTCACACACACAATTTCCTCAGAAATTGCATTCTCTAGTTAGCAAGCGTTAGCAAGCGTTAGCATGCTAACACGCCAAACTAAGACGGTGCACATGGTAAACATTAGACCTGCTAAACATCTGCATGTTAGCATTTAGCTCAAAGTTTAGCCTCACAGAGCTGCTGTGGTCTCGTTCCAGTGAGAAGTCGGATACTTCTACTCTGATTACATTGGTGGAAGGAAACCAAGGACATAAGTTAGCTACGTAGCATTTTAAGGTGTTTGTACTTGATACTTTACACGTCTACTCTTCCACATTAGTAACCCATAATGTTTTTCTTCAATAAGTCACAGTGTAGTCTGCCATTGAAAATTTCACTAAAACAATTATGCCATAGTGTGCATTAAAAATGTCGTTACTTAAAAATAAATTATTGTATATCATGCACAGAAACAAGCTCCAGTTTATAAAAGTTAAAATCTTACAATGAAATAAAAATAAATAGATAAATAAATTGTATAAAAATAATAAAATATATAATAATAAAATATAAGCATACATAAAAAATTAATATAATGTAATTTAATATTCATATTTAAAATTTTATAAATTATTATACATAACATATAATCATGTAATTATTATTACATTATAAAATTATTATTAAAGTCTTGTTATGTAACAATAAATTATTACATTCATATAATTAATAAATCATTTGATTAATAATTTGTTATTTATAAAATAAATAATAATAAAATAAATGAAAGAAATAATAAATAAAATATAAGCATAGAGAAAAAATACTGACAATATAAAATAAATAATAATAGCCATTGTTGAAGTCATAGCATAGTGTGTCATAACAAATAGTTAGTTTATTATTAGTTATGTTGAGATATTGAAATAATTACCTCATGATCCTGAGACAATGATATTAGGAAAATTATATATATATATTCTTCACCATTAAAACACTGCAAACACAGTAATGCATATAAATTAATGACCCAACACGTGAACAGGAGCCATTTTGTCACCAGTTGTTTTCAAGTTTATTCTGTCTGATTCTGTAGTTTTTTGAATGTTACTTTAGAAACAGGCTTCATGTGAGAGATCTGTGTGTTGCATTAGTTTTAATCATCACTCTGTCTTTTACTCCTGTTTCAGGTGTGTGTGTGTGTGTGTGTGTGTGTGTGTGTTTGAACATACCTTCTGCCCCCGCTGATAGGGGGTGGGGCATAGCGGTTAGGGTTGTACCTGTCCCTGCCCCTCGTCACTGGACGGTGACCACGAACATCTGCAAACGCCTGCGGGAGCACGAGAGACAAAGAGACGTGATGTGGGAAAAACAAAACACCTCAAAGATGCAAATCAAACAGAAGAAACATTTTCCACTCACTGTCTTATTCTTTGCTGGTGAGCTGGTGTCCTGTGGAAGACAAAAGGAAACTGCTGTGAATATTTCTGATGGTTCAAATTAATTCTTCATCCCAAGCTTGTGTTTGACACTTAGAAGCAGAGGACACTAAATGTGACTGCATGTGTGTCCCGTACCACGTGTGTCACTGCAGGACATGTAATCTGAGTACTGATCAGATGTTGCAGGTTTTCAAAAATAAAAATAATGATTGATGTTCACTGCAGCGATGTGAGTTTTGATGTTATGTATTGCAAAAAAAAAAGTTGATTTTTTAATTTTGATAAATAATAAATAATGTATTAACCTGCCGAGGACCAAGCTGTGCTCCAAATACACACACAAATTATTGCACTGGTGGATTTTGTTCTGTGAATTGATTGGATGGAAAATCGGAAACTGCCTAACAGCAAAAATGACAATAAATGGTCTTAATGGACTTTTATTTATTTTCAATGAATAATTAACTCATAGCAATGAATAAAGTGATGCGTCACAACCTCTTGCTTATATATTTTATTTCATATGTGTCATCACTGCTCTGAATCTCCTAACTTTCTGAAGTACAGACAGAAAACCTCCTGAGATGAATATCCTGTGACACTGTTAGAAAGTCAAATGAGAACAGCTTGTCCCTGATTCATTTTCAGATCCCGAGTAAATCTTTCACATTTTTCTTTGACATCTTTCAGTAATATAACATCTCATGTTTACTTTAAACACAAGTGATGTTCTTTAACAATATGATTTATGGACTGAAACGTTCCCTGAGCTTCCTCTTGCCTCACCGCTTTTGTTTCCTACATTTCTTAAGGAGAGAAATTACAGCACGTAACTGTGAAATATTCAAAGCCACAGCAGCGCTGAAAGAAGCACTCTGATTTCTTTTACTAAAGTTAAAATAGTAGCACCACAGTGTAGAAGTACTAAGTTACTTTGTAATGATAAATGTAAATATGCAAAGTGCCCAGTCGGTCTAACTGCTGCTGCAACATAAATATGATGCAGTGAAAAGTATTTCTCTCTGATGAGAGTGAAGTACGAGTACCTCAAGCGTAAATATACTTAGTTACTTAGTTTCCTTGATCACACACAAGTGGCACCATTTTAGAGACCTGACTGTAATCAACCGAGTGAACACACTCACCGTGTCATAGTCGTCATATTCCAGGTTATCCTGAGCCCAGGCGAATGTCACACACAGACACAGCAGCAGCAGCGTCCTCATGGTTCACTCTTGATAAAGTTCCTCTTCTCTGCTGTCTTCAGTGTGCCTTCACTCCTCTCTCTGTCCCTGAGGTCTGACTGCACCAGGCATTTATCCTCAGCCTCAGTGTGAGTGGGCGTCCCCCCCTCTCTCTCACACACACACACACACACTATTGATCTGCTCACAGCCTGGTCAATACCTGCAGGGACAGTGTACCCAGCTGAGTCACTGCTGCACACGCTCTGACCTGCAGGCTGGCGGGAACAAAAGGCCAAAAGGCCTCAAGACTTCACTGATGAGTCACAATCTGTTGATGTGATTCATGTGAGCAGCTTCCAGTTTGAATTCAGAGACACAGTGTCCCATGCAGTTCTGAATTTATGTCAAAATCTCTTTAAACATTTGGCTGGTTTGAAAACAGTCAGCACGTTCTGTTACAAGTTAACAGGACATGAGTGTTACAACCGAATGTACTCACAGTGAAAAACAGTTATTATTATCGTCATTATGAATCTGATGCACACTAGATAACACACACATTAATATTCTACAGAAGGCCTGAGAGGCAAAAAAACAGTTTCCTCTCTGTATTTACGATGTTTGAGCTGCTGAGCAAAAAGCTTTGACCCTTTTACATGTTACTTTAAAGCTCATATGTACAGCTGTGTCATCAAAACATCCAATAATATATAATAATACATCCACAGAACGTCTACAGAGGTGTAGAATTAAAGTCTATATTTTCCTGAAAACAAATAATTACAGTGGAGAAACAACTGTTTTAGAAATTTTGACAGGTCCAAAATATGTCAATATTGATGAACTATGGTAAGAAAAAGTAAGGATGTCGGCTAATTAAAGATATTTTACCTAATACTCTACAAACGGCAAATTTGGGACGGTAACGTTCAGTCAACTTAAAATTTTTGGGCAGCGCAGACACTAAGTTTTTTCAGTTAAAACAACATGTTACTTTTTTACAGTGTTTCCATCGGTTGGTTTAAATTAGATGTTTTAATTTTAAAGAGTTCATGGCGGCTGCTGAGTTACTTTTTAACAGAGTGCAGCTGAGGACACGTCGTCTGTATTTGTCCTGGAAACGGGACAACCCTTTTTTTTCAAGTCAACATTTTACACTTGAAACAAATGAACATTTGTAGGTTGACTGCAGCGTTTTCTTTGAGCCAACAACATAAATAAATAAATAAATAAATAAAGGTATTTCTCAGTCAGAATTTCATTCCTGGCCGTGTGGAGGACGGCTTTATGTTGGGAAACGTTCCCAAACCTTCCTGACTCATGACCTGCGCATCTTTAAGGTCCTGCTCGCTGACTGTGAGGCCTGGATTTACTGAGTGACAGACAGCATGTGTCAGTGTGTGCACCAGGTCGTACACACATATAAGACCTTTTTAATATCATCTTATATGAAAAGACCAAACCTGTGATGTGTGTGACACATGTGTGAGTACTCTTTTCAAGTAAACACACTGATGTCAGGTCAAAATGAACAGTATTTACAGAAGTTTTAACAGTAATGTGATTGAAAATATTTAAGGCTTGTTCAGGACCTGTCTCACCCTGGTGCAGACGCAGCTCTGGTCTGATGTTTAATCATCTATACACAGCTTATTATCAACAAAATAATTCTATATGTCATGACGTCTCTTGGAGATTTTGACACTGGGATTTTAAAATGTGTGTTGTAATCATTTCCCCTTGAAAATATTATTGTCATCAGGGTTTTTTTTCTCCTCAAAGACACAGTGAATCTAATCTTCGAACAGTCAGAGCAGTTTTTGTGAAAACGCTGCAGTGTCAGTTTCGGGAAATTAGGACGATTGAGCAACTGATGTTTGCTTGAGTCCAAAAGTGAACACGGTGCTGAGATCACAGTCCTCGACACACAAACCCACACTTTACTCATCTGTACACAATCAAATCTCTCTCAAGGTGCATCTTTATCTTTATGTAAAGCAAAGCCACGAGCTGCCTCATCACAACTCTGACTTTAACCTTAAAGGCGGGAAATAAACATTAACCCGTAAAACAAATTTAAATCGATCTCTGATGGAAAGAAGAACACACAACATACAAACAAGTACAAATATATATCTGTATTTTTGTAATCTGAGGGCGCATGCTACAGATTTGTAGGAGGAAATAATTAAAACATTTCTCCCAAAGCAGCTCCGTGCACTCATTTGTATTTCTGCTTTCATGTTTTGTGCTTTTAATGCAATTACATGTTTCATGTGCATGTAGACATTCATGATTCACGTCTTAAGTTGTGACATGAACTTTCACTATTATTTCATTATCCATAGTTTTACTGATCTTAAAATGATATCTGGGGGTCGACACGTCAGTGCCAACAAGATGAACCTGCAGAAGCTCGTGTGTTTGATATTTATCCATCACAGCTGATTCTGGAGAGGAAACGTTACTCCAGCTGGACCGGCTCGTGTCGCCTCAGACCTCATCAGACGAGTCTGGTTTTTGGATGTCAGGTCCGAGTTCAGATCCTCTTGGCACAAACGAAAGGCAGAAAGTCATCGCAGGAGCCGTAGTACCACTTCCTGTCAACTGCAATGTGGAAGATGGACAGAAAGATTTCACTTTAACGTTTTCAAGCTGCACACACAAAGTAAACGACGACGGTAGGGATGGGGATCAGTACTCCAGTACCAGCTGAGAGTAATCCCTGCCCAGCCTCCTTCATGTGAACATGACTTTTATAAACAGTTTAAACACAAGAGCCGAACTGTTTCAAAGTCGGTGCAAGTTTAGCCGCTACTGCTGCTGCTACGTTAGCTTGTGCTCACCGCATAGACAGCTCCAGAGACTGTCCTTCAACACTGCGTGTAAGCAATGTAACAGCAGCAACAGAAAGTTTTTTTTTTTTTTTAAAGTTACTTTAAGCCTTAAATGGACAGGCACATATACAGTGCCCTCCAAAAGTATTGGAACAGTGAGGCCAATTCCTTTATTTTTGTTGTAGACTGAAAATATTTGGGTTTGACATCAAAAGATGAATATGGGACAAGAGATCAACATTTCAGCTTTTATTTCCAGGTATTTACATCTGGATCTGATACACAACTTAGAAGATAGCACCTTTTGTTTGAACCCACCCATTTTTCATGAGAGCAAAAGTATTGGAACATGTGACTGACAGGTGTGTTTTGTTGCCCAGGTGTCTCCCAATTACATTGATTATTCAAACAATAAATAGCACTGAATGTCTGAGCTCAGTTTCAGATTGGGTACGATAGGTTTTGCCTGTGCAGACTGCATTTAGAGGTGGAACCAACATGAAAACCAGAGAGCTGTCTATGGGTGAAAAAGAAGCAATTGTGAATCTGAGAGAAGATGGACAATCAATCAGAGCCATTGCACAAACATTGGCCATAGCCAGTACAACCATTTGGAATGTCCTGAAGAAGAAAGAAACCACTGGTGTACTAAGCAACAGACGTCGAACAGGTAGACCAAGGAAAACATCAGCAGTTGATGACAGAAACATTGTGAGAGCTGTAAAGAAAGACCCTAAAACAACTGTTAGTGACATCAGCAACAACCTCCAGAGGGCAGGAGTGAAGGTATCACAATCTACTGTTCGCAGAAGACTTCATGAACAAAAGTACAGAGGCTACACCAGAAGATGCAAACCACTCATTAGCAAGAAGAATAGGAAGGCCAGGCTGGAATTTGCCAAAAGGTACAGAGATGAGCCTCAAAAATTCTGGGAAAAAGTTTTATGGACTGATGAGACAAAGATTAACTTTTTCCAAAGTGATGGAAAGGCGAAAGTTTGGAGAAAGAAAGGATCTGCTCATGATCCCAAACATACAAGCTCATCTGTGAAACACGGTGGAGGTAATGTCATGGCTTGGGCTTGCATGGCTTCTTCTGGGACGGGCTCTTTCATCTTCATTGATGATGTAACACATGATGGCAGCAGCAAAATGAACTCAGAAGTCTACAGAAACATTTTGTCTGCTAATTTAAAGAAAGATGCAACCAAACTGATTGGGAGATCCTTCATCATGCAGCAAGATAACGACCCAAAACACACTGCCAAAACAACAAAGGAGTTCATCAGGGGCAAGAAGTGGAAGGTTTTAGACTGGCCAAGTCAGTCTCCAGACTTAAACCCAATAGAGCATGCATTTTACCTGCTGAAGAGGAGACTGAAGGGAGTAACCCCCCAAAACAAACAACAACTGAAAGAGGCTGCGGTGAAAGCCTGGAAAAGCATCACAAAAGAAGAATGCAAAAGTTTGGTGATGTCAATGGGTCACAGGCTTGATGCAGTTATTGAAAGCAAAGGATTTGCAACTAAATATTAAGTCTCATTCACTTTAATCTATTTTAAGTTTATATGTTCCAATACTTTTGCTCACCCAAAAATTTTGTGTTCCATTACAAATAATGCTATCTTCTAAGTTGTGTATCAGATCCAGATGTAAATACCTGGAAATAAAAGCTGAAATGTTGATCTCTTGTCTCATATTCATCTTTTGATGTCAAACCCAAATGTTTTCAGTCTACAACAAAAATAAACGAATTGGACTCACTGTTCTAATACTTTTGGAGGGCACTGTACATGCTCTGGAAAGTTAACTAAAATGTATTTTCAGATGCAGTGGCTCCGACCTGGTCCAGTGACAGGGTCCAGATTTGTCCTCAGTCATCAGTTCAAGGTCCAAACACTAATTTATTCAGCGTCAGATTTGTGTCAAGCTAGTTTTCTGTCTCTGTAAAGTAGCTGACTGTTAGCCGTTAACTCTGCAGCAGGAAACATCACTTCAAAATAAAAGTTCTGTGCTGGAAATTCACAGTACTTTAAAATAAAATGTGTTTTTTACATTCGGAATGAACCTGCGACCCACTTTTGGACCACAACCCACCAGTCGGGAACCACTGATCTAACGTATGTAGACTAAATTATTTTCTAAATTACAAGTTGTATCTCCCAAAATACATTTAGGATATAAATTTAATATTCTCCCCTTCATGTTTTCAGCCTGGTACTGAAGCAGTTTTGGTCTCTGTCGCTAATTTCAACATTCATGACGACTGTACGGGGCTGAATTTATATAGAACTCACCTGTTTACAATTTATTGAGGATTAAAGTTACACGTCATAGAGGGCGGGGCCTCTTTGAGTGACAGGCTGTCTGCTGATCATACCACTGTGAAAGGTCTGCGTCTGACGCGGAAATCACTGACCAAGCGGCGATTATAGAACAGTTGGTATAAAATGTGCAGACGTATCCGTAGTTTGCAGAAATGTATAATGCCATCATTTCTTCTGGCTACTGGAATATTAAACATTTGTCTGCTCATGTGTGTGTGTGTGTGTGTGTGTGTGTGTGTGTGTGTAGTTCATTACATCCATAATTCATCTTCAGACAGCGCTCAGATCTCTCCACGCTGTAGTCCCTGTGCCAGTATTCGTAACGAAACTTGGAGCCGTCGCTCCACATCCAAAAAGAGAGCTATGGATAGAAAGACAAACATTTATAAATGCATCTATCCTGCTGAGATCTGAACTTTTGTTTAGTATGCATTTTTAATTTCTCCTATTTGAGATCAGTAGGTCAATAAGTAGAAAGAATAAACTTAACACATTGTCATCAATAATAAGGTCCCAATGTCCTCAAACGAGTACTTCCTAATTAACAGCATCTTAGTTTGGCACTGTTGCTAAAACTGGTCAACTTTGTTGCAATATCAAACTACAAACTTTATTTATCATAAATAAACAAGTTTCAACCATGAAACGTGATCAGGTTTGTTCACGTTTGTCTCTGGATCGGCTGCAGACTGACTTGGCAGAGATGGCGGCCATCTTGTTTTTCCATTGATCAGTGTAGTGTGCTCTAACCACCACTAGATGGCACAAAGAGTGTCCACGGACGAGGACAACAGGTCTGAGTTAATCAGAATGAAGTGAGGGTCAAGTAAAGCCAAAGTGTGATGTCCTCACATGAGGCTAAACATAACTTAAACTGCACTTTAAAGGTGCAAATTAAAATTCTACTGATATGAAAGTTTGTGGCTCCTCTCAGTCGAGTTTTGGGGTAATTTTGGAGATTTGGGTTAAATACAGGCTACAGTGACGTGACCTGCAGGTGTGCAGTGTAACAGTCACATCAGCTAAACACAAAGACGTCCCTACATGTACGGCATCGTGGCCGCCGATCCAGGTGAGGGGGAAGTCGTGGCCATCTCCTCTGGTCAGAGCCTGGATGAAGTGATTCTCCTCGTAGCTGTGGACTGACGCCAGGTTGGCCCCTTCAAACAGACAGTAGCCCTGGAGGTGACCAGAGAGGAGAGAGTAGCGCCATGTTTGACTCACTGCATCATGAATGGATGTGTGAGCAGCTGTCCTCACCTCGGCTTCAGCCCACGTCTTCAGACTGTCGATGAAGACGAAACACTGCTTTCCGAAGCGGGACCAGCCGTACGGGCAGTAGAACTCCCGGTCTATAAGAAAACAAACATTTTAAATATTTTACTTTTATTTATTCTTTTTACAGCACTGCTGTGACTCTGTATCAGTAACCACCTACTAAATCTGTTCATAGATCCATAAATAAAGTTCAATATTTATGAAATGTGGTGGAGTACAACGTACAAGTATAAATCACAGTACTTAAGTAAATGTACTTAGTTACTTCCCAACACCGACCAAGAATCCCCTGCAGCAAAATGAAGCTTCCTGTTCCAACAAAAAATAAAAATCATCACTCACCACAGTTAACAGGTACGGCCCCCAGCGGCGTCCTCGTGTTCGGTATCTCCTCTCCGGTGATGACGTTGACGCACCAGCAGTTCCCGGTGGAGTCGGAGCACTGCTGCGGGAGGAAGTTCCCGTGAGCGTCGCACTGTGGGATGAACGCTCCCATGATGTTGATGCCCTCCTGCCTCGCGTAATCGCAGAGACCCGAGTGCCTGCCGGAGAGGCTGGTGTTGGTGCTGAGCGGGACGGCTCGGCTCAGGGTCAGAAAGGTGCCGAGCGTCAGAGACACGCTGAGCACCTTCATGGTGATGATGATGATGCTGAAGAGGGAGTGTGGCCTGTCAAAACAGTAGCAAAATTAGAAGCACCGCCCCGTTTGTATGACTCCGCCCACCAGTCCAGTGTCTCTGACAGTTTCAAGATTAGAGTCACCAATTCAGTATCTGACCAAATGTCTCCCCTTCTGTTCCTGAGATATGACGTTAAAACATGATGATGTCACAGTCAAGCTGACCTTTGACCTTTTGACCTTCAGTATTTTATCCTGTTAGACATTTGTGTCAAGTTTGGTCAGAATTAGTGAATGAATTCTTAAGTTATGCACAAAAACATGTTTTACAAGGTCACAGTGACCTTTGACCACAAAATTTGTATCAGTTAATTATTTAGTGGACGTTTGTGCCAACTTTTTAAAAATTGCCTCAGGGTGCTCTTGAGATTTTGCAGGAATGAGACAAATGCAAGGTCACAGTGACCTTTGACTGCCAAAATTAAATAAGGTTCATTGTTCAGTCCAAGTGGACGTTTGTGCCAAATTTGAAGAAATCCCCTCGAAGTGTTCAGGAGATATTTTGCTCACGAGAATGCAGTGGATGCAAGGTCCCAGTGAGGACCAAATTCCAATCAGTTCATCGCTGACTTTGAGTCAACGTTTGTGCCAAATTTGAGGAAATTCCTACTTCAGACATCACATTCATGAGAATGAGACCGATGAGGTCACAGTGACACTGGCCTTTGACCTATGACTTTTGACCACCATACTAATAAGTTCATTGTGATTCTAAATTTGACGAAATTCGCTCAAGGTGTTCTTGAGATATCCGCTTTACAAGAACGGAGTGGGACGTACGAATGTACGATTTTTTTTGCGATGTTGGATTTATTTATTTTTTTTACATTTACTATTTTTGTTATTGTTGTTGTTGTTGTTGTTATGTATCCGTCCTTTACAGCTGACTCTATAGCCGTAGAAGAGCTGAATGCTCGGTCAGTTTTCCCTGAATAAACAATGGTTTGGCTGACGTACACATGAACAGACTGCTGAACAACCTGAAAACATAGCGCTTCCCCCTCACTGCTGCCGCCGGGGTGGGGGCATAAAAAAATTTAAAAGTCTGAAAAGTCCTAAAAAGCTAAATTAATGCGCACATTGTCGAATAAACCAAAGGTTCTAGAGGCTTGTTGAAGCCAAGTGTGTATTTCCTCTGCCATTACCAACACTGTGGCACTTTACTCGTGAGAACGACACATCAGATATAATTCATATAAAAGACTTTGGCAAATCAATACACCAAACACAGAAGGAGTTGAATTTTTCTTTGCGTGATGATCACTTCTTCATAAAGTAAAAAACAAGCTGTATTGGCTGAAACAAACTGCAGACTCACCTGTTCGAGGATCAGCTGGTGTGTCGAGCCGCCTGTGCTGCTCCTTGTCTTTTATCCTGCAGATCGCCGACACCTCTCATGTGTCATTATTTTAATTTCCCACGACTTCGCTGACACTTTGGGGCAGAAGTGGCTCCAACAATGACTCGAGCAGCTGCAGGCACAGATATGGCTTTGTCTGTACCGTATTTATTGTATGTGATAATCCCTGGTGTATACAGTCATCCTCTCTCACACTATCATGATCACAGTGAGCTTCAGGTTTCATCATGTCATTGATCTCAGTGTCCCACAGTGTCTCACAGTGTCTCGGCCTTCCAGACTGTCTCGTCTGGTTTCCAGGTTACCTGTTCTTATCTCATCCAAAGCCGCTCTTATTTTCCCGACTTTGTATTGTGCAGATCCGGGTTATGAACTATTTTTGCAAGTCAACACCGACACCACTTGAGACTTGGCTGGATCATATGCTCCACTACAGACAACATAAGCTGCAAAATCCGATAAATCTTTTTAGTTTTGTGTCAAGTATCTCAGTGAAGATCTAATAAGCAGTCTGTTTCCCACAATGCCCTCTGCTTATTCATTACTCCAGCGAGTTACTGACGCCACCTCACGCCAAAACAATCTGAAATATACCTTTAGGTAAACAGCTAGAATCACTGCCCCGTGGTTGTATGACTCGGCCCACCAGTCTCTCTGAGTCATGTTTCAATAACGGTGACTTCATGTAAACAGGTGCAGTTATGTTGTTTGTACACAGGGTGGCGCACTGCGGCAGGAAACACAGGTAACAAAGGTGCAGGTGGTGAGAAGCAGGTGAGAGATGGACTCTGAAAGTGTTCAGTGGAGACCAACCTGAGACGAACAGTGTTTTACCTGTGTGAAGGTGAGCACGTGAAAATAAATGTGTCTCTGCACCCAAAGACACCTGATGATGAAGTGGACTTTAGGTCTGACCTACTTGCTGGAGCAGTAAACTAGCTTTCATTACAGTCTACTGACTTTCCCAGTTATTACTTCTTTCATTCGGACCCGGCACCATTGCGCAACAACTTCATGGCCGCATTGTTTACTCCAGAGATCAGCTGATCGCACTGAGGCCGGCCGGCTTGACAGCAGGAACATCGGAGATACCAGCTGAACTGTGGAGGAAAACACACAGAGGATGCAGGGGAGGAAGTAAACAGCGGCGGAAAAAAGCAGGGTTGAGACAACGGAGGCTTATGGAGAAGAGAAGCTATAAGCCGTGTCTCCCCTCTCTCATCATGGGCAACGTGACGTCACTGGCAAATAAGATGGACGAGCTGACAGCGGTCGCCAAAAGTCAGAAGGAGTACCGGGAATGTAGTCTTATGTGCTTCACCAGGACATTCCCGACACCAACGTCTCCATCAGCGGCTTCCAGACTGTTCGGGCCGACCGGGACTGCACCGAGAGCAGTAAGCGCAAAGGAGGGGGGCGTGTTGTTCTAGTAAATAACCGCTGATGCAGTCCTGACCATATTTCCATTAAGGAACATATCTGTTGCCCAGACATTGAACTGTTCGCTGTTGGACTCAGGCCGTATTATTTGCCCAGGGAGTTTTCACATGCCATTATTGTAACTGTTTACATCCCCCCCTCTGCCAACCCGACGTCGGCATGTGA